TAATTTGAAACAGATCTTTTGCCAAAATGTTTGCCATTGCATTCTTCCAGGATATTTTTTTCAACTTTTTAGTTTAGCCTACAGCTCTAAGATTCCCTAATAACCTCCTCTCCAAGTATGAACCAGGCTGATCTTGAAAAAGCTTGTTCATTTTTAAAAAAAAATCAGGCAAGGTCAGCTATGACATTCCATAATTTTCTTTTTATGAAAAAATTCTTATCAAAGGAAAGTCAGAGCAGTTAGTTAGTGGGTACATCTTTTTTTTAGTTAAATCATAACACTCATTCTGGATTGGATCTTGCATGGAACAATAGAGAAGGCTTGAATTTTCTTTGTTTGCAGGTTCAGTTGCCCAAAAATAATGCATTGATTCAAGCATTACTTTTTGACAATGTGAATTTCAGGCCTACAAAGGTAGTCTGATATTGCAGCAGTAGGACAAAATACAAAAAATATCCAACCTCCTCTCCCCTCCCAATAGAGCTTCATTCTGGATTAGTTCTTCTGCATTTCAAATTAAAGTAGTTAGCTGCTAAGTAGATTTCTATATTAGCATGTAAACTCATACATTCTATTGAGAAACTCTATCAGTCTGGAGGAACAAAGAGAAATCTTCCAGTGAAATTCTTCTTCCTTCTTTTATTAAGTTTCAGAAACAATGCTTTACAGGAAGAATCTCAGCAACTTTCTAGATTTCCTATTGTAGAATCTCTGTTTCATATTGCAAGAGTTCAGAAGCATGGTTCATGAATTTTCACATTCTGCAATACATTACTTCTCTCTTTCCCGTTAGAGTCATAATCAATTTTGTTTATGAAGGCTCCAAATAAGCCCCACCCCCTGTTAATATCACTCAAGTAATGTGTATTAAGCATAAATGCATTCTGGAGGAAGTCTTCACACATGTGTGCATTTGTTGGCTTCCCTGTGAGCCAAGATTCTGCTTGATGAGTGTGCTAGTTCATATAAAGAACAGTGTGTGTACAGTTGTACACGTGATTCCTTTCCTCCTGTGGATAGATAAGCTCAGAGTAAAACCATTTACAGATTTGCATCATTTAAGTAATGCTGACTGGGGTTGGGGTTTAATTGGAATGTCACATGATGAGCAATCTGGAATTAAAGACTGGAAGTCTCTTGGCTACTGCTATGATACATAACACAGACTTAGCTTAGTTGTGGAACAGCATAATCTGTGACCTAAACCAGGGTCTGTCGAAGGCACCTCTAACTTTTGAAGAAATCAGAAAAGAAATATTCACATCTGTAGGCTGGACTAGTATGATTATAAAAGAACATTCTGTTGGATAATGATAACCCAGGAGGCAAACCTAATTTTCATGAATGAGAAGGGGTAATTGTTAACTACCATATGGGAGAGTGTTTGAAAGCTGGTAAAAATGAAATAAAATCAGAAAATATCTATCTGATTAAAAATATTTGAGTTGTCAAATAGAGACATCTGTTATTTCTTTGTTATGAGTTCTTTCTGTTGAATGCTACATAATTCATGACTAAATTTGCATAGCTTGCAACCAGTAGTAATGAATTGCAAGATCTTCAGGAGAGATTTGGCTTTGTTTTCCAAAGAAATAAGCTAAATCTAAGAAATGGCTTTCTTTCAGAGCTGCCACCTGCAGCTTGTTTTCTCTCCTGAAGCCAAATTTTCTCCAAAGTGTTGTGGGTTAATTAACCTGCTATGGCGCAACCTGGAAGTCAGGAGAGGCTATTCCTATAAACCTCTGTTTTCCCCTTCAGCAGCTTCCTGTTTTTCAGACTTCATGTACACGATAATTTTGGCTACTTTTACAGGTATGTTCAAGTATGATGTCACCATGGCCATATTTTATAAGAAAAACTTTGTTGGATCTGACTGAAGGCCTCTCTGCCCTGCATTCTCTTTTCACAGTGAGTCATCACTTCCCTGTGAGAAGCCCTTCAGCAGGATGGAGATAAAACCCTCCGTCTTCTCTTCCCCAGCAATTGGTAGTTATGTGTCAGCCTAGCGAAGCTGTCCAGACAGGAAGCACAACCAGATGGACTAATTCTACTTTATTGTAAGGTTACATTAACAGAATCTTGCAAGTCTGAAAGTACATTTCTCCCCCGTTGCTTTTACTGCCCAAGAAACTAGGGAGGGTCCCTTCTGAGATGTTTGTCATGCCCATATTCCTTTTGCGGGCTGAGATGCCTCTTGTCCAACCGTTCCCCTGGCTGTGGCTCTTCCCCCTGTCTTCCAGGGTCATTCCTACATACCATTACATTATGCTGCTTCTGATAATGGAGGTGATGTTCATAATCTGATGCTCTCTCTCAGCATTTTTATAATAATATTAATTTTTGTGCTTCCTGAATATTTTTACAATTGTTTTTTATAGTTTGTTTGTACACCATAAAATTCACATCACATGAGATGGATGGCCATATAAATATGACAAACAAATAAATAAAATTAAAACAACTCACTACAATATGGCAGTGTGTGTATACAACCATAATTAGTATTAAACAAGTACTAACCTGGGTACTGCCGCCTGTCACAATCGGGTGGGTATACAGATTCTGCACTAACCCACTAGTCAAGTAGAAAGGTCTTTAGAACTGTTTTAGAAGATATCCGACAATTACAAAGACAGAGGGAAAGAGGAAACTGATTTCAGAGTTGTAGAGCTAGGTCCCTCAAGGCCAGAACCTGGAAACCACAATTCTGGAATGAGGAACAGAAAGAAAACTCTGCCTAGAGGAATGTAAAGAATGAACAGGAAGATATGGAGAAATAAGGGCAATAGATACTGGGGAATTGTGACTGGGGAGCTCGAAATATGAGCACCAATGGTTTCAGCTAGGTTCTGGCTCAAATAGGGAGCCAGTGAACAACTGTGCAGTATAACAAAACATAAGAATAACATGGAAGGTCGAGAACAACGCAAGCAGCACTGTTGTGAAGAAAGATGAGAGGGTGGAAAGAGGAATTGGGAACATCTGCCATGAGAGTATCATTGCAGTAGTGGAAGTGTGAAACAACTAAGACATTAACCAATAAAGTGAAAGTCTCCTCCACCAGAAACTCTTAGATCATGATGTTATGAATACTCATCAAATAAAAATGGGAAACTCTTGCCGTAAAACAATAAACAGGTGCAGAGTCAGTTAATAATTGTTAAAAATCTGAGCCTTCAAGTGGAGGAAACTGGGCCAATCTAAGAGCCTGGAAACATATAGGGGAGGAACACAATAAAGAGCAGGAAGGACAATCAGGCTGAAACACATCTTATCCATACTCAACCTGAGGCAATGGAAGGACATTCAGGATGAAGTATTAATAAGATATTCTGTTACTGTTGACCATGTAATGCCCTCAATGACCACAAAAATCTGATATCCTTGGCATAACAATTATATTGAAGGCCTGACCCTGAATGAGGGCACCAATGGGAAGAGAATAAATATAACCCATGAGGGAACCCCTTGTAATAGGAAATACATGGCATTATAAGACTTTAACCACCAAGTGCACAGTCAGTGATGCTCAGGAGCCATTATCCAAACAGCACTAGCTGGTAGTCAAGTATATCAAAGGTACCGTCAGATCCGAAGGAGCAGCACAGATATAAGACATTGAGATTTAGCCACCAGAATATTTTATCTATCTATCTATCTATCTATCTATCTATCTATCTATCTATCTATCTATC